AACCCTATATCTGACACTTTTAGTTTTAGGACTTACAAACAACCGTTATGTAAACAAAACTATAATACTCTCTTTAGCAACATTGTTGCGAGAGTATACAAATTTAGTAACAACAAAACTAAATTTATTGATAAACTGATACACCCTGTTAAAGTATTGAACCAAAGTTATGAGTCAAAAATAAATTTTGACGAAATTGTATTAAATCATTTTAAGAATATCAAAGAAATAGAAGAGTTAAAGTATCACAAAAGTGTATCCTATGACATAAGTTCCTCATTAATTATAATAATACTAATAAGTATAATTATTGTTATTATTTACTTATGTAAACAAAAAAAATGAAAAAATAAGTTTGAAAATTATAAATAAAAGTCAGCAGACTTCTCAGAGTCTCTCGGGGGGAGTTACATCTCAGGTTACGTCAACTGACGGCATGCAGTTGTGCACCACATCGCATGATCAGCCAGTACGTGACCAAAACAGCAGACTCGGCATATTTTGAGTCTGTTGGAAAGTGCACACAGACTCGAGTTGCTGATCTGATGGTAGAGTCAGTCTGATTCTTGCTACAGACCAAAGAGGTATTATCCATAACTCGCCCGACACTTAAAATTTTAACTCGATGATAGCAATCCAGTTTCTTTCAGCGAAAATACCTTTGTGCAAGGAACAACTTTTATAAAAACGGGGCAAGTATTAATAATATGCTAATTTAAGCAGATTTTTTAGGAATAAAAAGCACAATGGGAGCAATTGACTGCACGCATGTTGCTATCAATATAATTTGAATAGAAATCAGCTGTTTTTGTTTAAATTATTTTGTTCACCACACGTGTGGGAAAAAGCTTTGCGAATTGAAGCTTTTACTTTTTTCAAGATTGTCACAGAATACCAAAATATTTCCCGCTTGATAAATATTTGAGTTAATTTTCAATATCTGATTAATTTGTCAAGTGCACAGAATAGGGGTATAAGTTTGCCACGAAGTTTGTAATTCCCCAAAAAAAACGTAATACAAACTTAAACCTTACATGCGTCTTTCTCGACTCGCTATTTTCATTCGTTAAAGAAATTGAAATTTTCTAAGGCAATGATGGCGGAAATACTAGTTTGATAACAAATTCGATTCTGTAAGAAATCATAATGGTAATTTTTCAAAAAAAATTCCTTTCTTTTTTTGTAAAGATGCCATTTTTAGACTAGTCCCCTGATCACTGGGTTCGTTCAGCTATGTAAATAAAAAAATGTAGTTTTTGGATTTAAGATCTTTTAAAGCAGAAAAGTCTTCCTCTCTGTACGTTACCTTTTCTCCAACGTCTTCCTGGAGATCGGCTAAAAATCACTGATTATAAAAGTACATTAAATGTACATATACATCATTTTTATCCCCAATTCCCAATAGAAAATCTGCATCCGCCACTGCTTGGCATAATGATGGAACTGCATATAAAACTACGTTTAATGTTTTCTTTAAATATCGAAAATTCGATCAACGCATTGACAATTTTTAATTAGACTAATGCAAACATATAAAAACAGTGTAAGCTGTTTATGAATAAAAGTCATTTCAGCTTAAGCCAAAAGAACGTGGTAAATTCTATGATAGAGAGTGGTTCACAATCAGAATTTTGTATGGCGGGTTATAACTAAAAATCTGCACAAATTTTTTTTGAGCGTAACTCAAAAGATACTATTGAAAGAAAGCTAAGCTATTCCATGTAGTATAATTATATTGTTATAAAAATGAAAAAAATAATGAACTTCATTGTGTTATGTTTGTCGGGTTCTTTTCTTTAGGCACAAAGAATATGTTATTGTTGACCAAGAACTCCAATGTCGAATTTGCACAATAAGAAGTGGCTTTGTTCGGCCAAAATGCGACTTCATCGCTTTTATGGTGTTTATGTATGAGAGAAACCAAAATTTTATCCAAACATTGATTGATGTATGTATGTCTCATGATTTATTGTCAATCCATTTGCTTTAAAAAACGGCTCAGAGATACCCTTAGGAGAAACTGTTATGTAGAGTATAACTTTGGACAATTTTATTTTTTTTTTTTTAATTTGTATTTTATCTCCCGAAGCATTATAGAAATATCGTATGTGTAATAAACATCGTTGCGCGGCATTCCCGGTCTGCTTAGTGAAAAGTAGCTTTGGTCATCCAAGATAGATGATTTTCCGCTCAAATTTTTGTGATTTTACTTGACTTATCTGCTTTTCGGTGTACCCTGGACAACACTGCTTTTTTCTATTTGCCTATATATGGCTGTGAGCACTCTAATTTTCTTATGCAATCCTTATTGCTGAACGCTGTCGTCAGTTTCCGAATGTTTTTTTAAATAGTAGACTATTAAAATTAGTGTAGATCTTTAGTTATAACCCGTTATTAACGTAAAATTTTAACCGGGACTTCCGTATAAAAGTACATTAGCACTCACGACATGGTGGTCAAATTTCTTTTAAGAAACAACTTTTTCCCGAAACTTTTTTTACAAAATAGATTTACAAAGAAATCAAGGACAATAATTTTGTTTATTTTTAATAGTATTTTTGAACAATAATAAAATGTGTAGATCGCATATTTGAGCGTTCTAGCGAATATAAATTACACGAACATACAAATATAAAATAGCAATATTTTTTATTTACAAAGTTTTATATAATTCAGCAAATATTTCGCTTTGAATATAAAATCGTTAATAGTATTACCATACTTATGATAATAGTTTCTATTTTTTCTTTTCTTGGGTTTACATAGCAGTGTTTATAAAATGCGACCAGCTTCATGTACTATATGTACATGCATACATATGTCTATAGGGAGGAGTGTAATTTATAACAGCAAGCTAAGCTCTTTGTATGAAAGTCCTTTTGGGCGCTTCATTACAGTTAAAAGCGCATTAGAAGTATACGTATTAAGCTAGTTGCTGCTTCATCAATATCTTCTATTCGACATAAACAGTCGTATGAAATATACGCGTGTCTATTCAATCTCGAATATATCTTCACATAATTTTTATAAATAGATTAAATTCCTTTTTGATAATAACGTCATTAAATGAATAAATCAATATTTGTATGAATTTACCCATCTCGGGTTGCATTATTTTATTTCTTCACATGGACTCATTAGGCTCAGTAGTACATCGAGAATTCTATTAGACTAGGTCCGTATGTATGTATGTGCTTATATGTATGGAGAGACACACGAAGCATACATACAACTCTGTCATATATTATATAGATTTGTTATATTATTAATTAATATAAGTGTTGTAGGGATAACTATAGTGTCCTTGTTGGCTATAAGGTGACGGCATCGATTTATCGTTTTCTTGTTTGTGTATTAGCAGGTGTTTATCATATTCACGTATATTTACTAATGTTTTGTTTCTATTTTTTCTCATTTGTATTTCTAGTTGGCATGCTCATAGCATGGAACAAAAAATGTTATTGCCGAAACCACTGTTTATTTGAAAAGACAAAATGCTTATCTAGGCTTTTATATTAAATGAAATACAATTTTTTCTTACATTATCATCATGAAGCAATACTTGTGTTTCATTGTTTATTAATTTGTATTACATAAATTTTACACTCGCACTCGTTTATATACCATATCTTGTGTGTTTAAATGAATACAATTTAATTACGAGTCAATTATTGAACGTTATTCTGTCTCTAACTCTGTTACTTTATTTCCTTTGCAGCATATACATGATAAGTAATTAATACATGTACGTATATATATGAAATACAACTATTTTTTTATGTATGTGCTTCCAGTGTTTACAACGCACACTGTAAGAATGATTGAACAGCATTCTTTTTGACCACATGTAGTTTAAAAAAGTATCATTGTAGTTTTGTTTACAATTTTTATCTTTACATTGGTTTCTGTTTAATACCTATAGTTATTTATATGCCTAAGCTTATGGCATTTGAACGTTACACAAAAAGTTATTTTAGTTTTAGTTATAAGCCGAGGTAAACATGTTGGAATTATCCCATTCCAACTGGCTGACATTTGAAACGCGGCCTTTTACCACTGAAAAAAGTTAAGAAAAACTTGTTATAAGTAAATATTTTTATAAAATTCCAAAAAAAAATACAAGAAAAAAATCAAACCACCTCAAGTCGTCCCTCAAAATTTCGCTAAATCAACGATTTTGAAAATAAACAAATAACCGTAGTACTTTGCAATTTTTTAGCGTCAGTTTTTAAAAAATGTATTAAAATTATTATTCTATAAACGAATTTGATTAAAAACAAGAAAAAACGTTAACTTCGGTTGCACCGAAGCTAAATACTCTTCACAGGTGCAGTGTTAGTAACTATGTGTTCAGTTTGTATGGAAGCTATATGCTATAGTAATTCGTTCCGAACAGTTGTTTTGGAGAAAATATTATTATCTTACGCAGTAACCCATGCCGAATTTCGTGAAGATACCACGTCAAATGCGAAAGTTTTCCATACAAGCCTTGATTCCGATCGTTCGGTTACGATATTACATTATTTCTATAAGCAATAACTCATACCAAATTTCGTAAAAATATATCGTCAAGCTATACATAGTAATCCGATTTGAACAATTTCTTTGGAGATTACATTGTTGCTTCAAAAAAAATCTATACCCAATTTCGTGAATTTATCTTGTCAAATGTGAAAGTTTTCCATACAAGAACTTGATTCCGATTGTTCAGTTCATCTGTGCCAACATTTATGAAAACACATTGTGAAATGTGAAAGTTTTCCTTACAAGAACTTGACTCTGATCGTTCAGTTTGTATGGCAGCTATATGTTATAATGGTGCGTTATCGGCAGTTCCGACAAGTGAGCAGCTTCTTGAAGAGAAAATGACGTTTGCAAAATTTCAAAACGATATCTTGAAAACTGAAGGGCTAGTTCGTATATGTACAGACAGACGGCAGACAGACGGACATGGCCAAATCGACTTAGCTCGACATACTGATCATTTATATATATACTTTATAGGGTCTCCGACTTTTCCCTCTGGGTGTTACAAACTTCGTGACAAGCTTAATATATCCTGTTCAGAGTATAAAAATATCAATAATATAGGACGACAATTATTCTTTAAGTTCACAATATTTCATCGAAATGAATTATGAGGAAATAATTTTACAATTTTATCATGCTAAAAAGTTCAGATTGACAAGTTGGCCGACAGGGGTAATGCTCGAAAAGTCTACGAAGAAACGCGGTGGCTAACAGAAGGTTTATAGACCGGAGCATACTCTTGTAGAACCCCCGCAGGTGATCTAGTGACCAATGCCCAGAGCATATTAAAATTATGGAGCACTTCTCTAGCCTGCTAAATGGCAGTGAAAGTGCAACGCCAGGAGAAGGCGAACCCGATTCCCCAATCGATGACGATGGGGCAGACTGCTCCAATGCTCGACCATGAAGAAGTTCGAATAGCAATTACCCGTCTAAAGAACAACAAAGCGGCGAGGTCGATAGATTCTCGACCGAGCTATTCAAACACGGCGCACAGTGGGGTAAATGGTGCTCAAAATGGAGATTAATTCACACAAGTCTTCTAGTTATGGAAAAGTTATTTTTTTTAGTTAAGTAATCATAAAGAAGTAAGAAAATAATGCAATTCGAGTTTTTTGATTGTTTTTTGTTTTATATCTTCAAAAACAAAAATATACTGAACATCGGTTTTCTAAATTTTTAATTTTTTTAAGCTTCAAATTTTATTTAAAATATATAAACTGTTTCTTCATTACTATAATCATATTCATGATCATTGTCGTCTTCGATTGAATTTTTATCATCGCCTTCATCATCATCAACTTCATTATTATTGCCACTCTCTATCACGATCAACTCTAATGCTTCTTCGGGTAAATCCTGCACTTTTTTTCCAACGAATTTTAAATTGACTAATAAAGGTTTTTATCTTGTCATCAAACTCTTTTATAAATTCATCAGATGGCTCAATACGCTTTTTCAATTGCTCTTTTAAAAATTTAAATTTTTCATTAAATTTATCACAGCCAGAGTTTTTCATTATGTCATAAAAACTTTGACGAGGAACCCAAATTACATTAGAACTGGTTCTTATAAGGAAGATAATAATATTTTTATCCTCTTTAAATGTAGTCAATGTCGGTATCGCTTTTACCATGTTAGTTAAATATACATCACTATTGTTATTTCTCTCGACTGCACATGACATACAAACATTAGTAATAAAAATTGCGCGGGAAAAAACAATGTCGGTTATCATGATTTTACATATACCCTAAACCTTAGATAAGAACCTTATGCCATGTTAATTAATTATTACAAAATGTAAGAAATCAAAATTTTATTTCAAAAATGTTTGTGATGATGTTTATTATTATACATATGTAAGTAAAACGCGAATTTTAGACTATTCCGGAATATGTTCTTATGCATTTAAACTGCCGCTTATCGTAACGTAGGGTGTGAACAAAGCAAATAGGCATCCACTGAACAACAAAAACAAAAACAACCCTTTTTTTTTGCAATTGCTGTATTTGTTCTTCTTCTGCCTTGAGAAATTCGTGTATATTTGACCAGGCAGTTCGCATAAAGAAATGCATATACTGAGAAAGTGCGCAGTATTGGCGCAACTTTTTTTTGTACAAAAAGAAACTACAACAACCATAGATTACAGGAATGAAACAAGATTTGCTTTACCCGAAATCCCAATATTTTAAGTCTTTCGCCCAAAAAAAAATTAAAATACTTAGAGACACGTAAAAACACAAATGAAATCTTTTTGTATTTACTAAATTACCTGAAAAAAAGGCTCCATTACAATTTTCTCACGATTTGTCCAGTTAAAGAAAATAAAAAACTTCGAAAAATTAAAAAAAAAACACGTATATCACTGTGCGCATACAAAAAGAAATAAACTTGCAATTTTCAGAGAATATTACAAGAAAACTGTAAACTTTTGCCAAATATTTGTTCAGTTAGTGATGTAGAATTTTATCTACTTTTGTTTGATACCAAAAGTTTACTTGTACCTTGAATTTTTATTTTTGAATTAATCTCCAAAATTGACACATTTTATCCCAATGTGCGGCGGCAAAAAATTGGTAAGGAGCATGCATTAGCTTCTTTGTAAAAGAATGCATGGTCGGACGAATGCATGCCCAAAGATTGGAAGTGTGCTCTGCCCAATGTACAAAAAAGGAGACCACTTAATTTGCGCTAACAAACTGATTGGACTTTATCAGTGTGGATTTAGGCCTGGCAAATCAACAACCGATCAGATATTCAACATGCGCCAAATCTTGGAAAAGAAAATCGACATACACCACCTCTGCGTTGACTGCTTTTGACAACACGAAAAGGAGCTGCCTTTATGCCGCTATATCTGAATTTGGTATCCCCGCAAAACTAATACGGCTGTGTAAACTAACGTTGAGCAACACCAAAAGCTCTGTCAGGATCGGGAAGGTCCTCTCCGAGCCGTTCGATACAAAACGAGGTTTCAGACAAGGCCATTCCTTATCGTGCGACTTTTTCAACCTGCTTCTGTAGAAAATAGTTCGAGCTGCAGAACTAAATAGAGAAAGTACCCTGCTATAAAAGTGTACAGCTGCTGGCTTATGCCGATGATATTGATATCATCAAACAAACAGTCGTTGCACTCGCGACTTGTCTCTCATGTCACTGTTGAGTCATAGCTTTAAAGTCGTAGATAATTTCATCTATCTTGGAACCAGTATAAACACCAACAACAATGTCAGCCTGGAAATCCAACGCAGGATAACCCTTGCCAACAAGTGCTACTTCGGACCGAGTAGGCAATTGAGAAGCAAAGTCCTCTCTCGACGAACAAAAACAAAACTCTATAAGTCACTGAGAGAAAGGTTCTGCGAAAGATTTATGCGGCTACGCTGGCTAGGTCATGTTGTCCGAATGTCCGTTGTTGGAAACACTTCAGCTCTGAAACTATTCGACGCAGGACTCCGTTGGAAGGACCAGATGTAGAAGGATTTTGCTTCGCTTGGAATATCCAATTGGCACCACGTAGCGAAAAGAAGAAACGACTGGCGCGCTGTTGTTAACTCTAACTAAGAAGGAAGTTCAATCTCCAATAACAATAACAAAAAAATGTAATTCGATAAAATATTTTTGTAGGAGGGTATAATATACAGGACAGATGGCAACATTGTAAGTCATAATAATAATAATAATACCCAACGATTACCCTCCTCCCGCCCAACCGACGCGAAGGGCGCAATCCGCGAACGAGCGGAATTAGCGAAGTCATAAAAAAAGGCAAGGGAGTTTTAAGCGTTGCGATCTTAAGCTGCTCAGCTACAGAAACAAAAATTTCAACAGCCAAAACTAAGAATTAGATTAAAGTTTATAATTTTTAAATGTTACCTGTTAAGAGTAGATAAAATAATTTTTTTAATGGTAAAGAGTGAA